GTGCTGAAAAAAATGCGATAAATTTCGCGCCCTGAAAATATCAAAAAAGTTACTGTTCACCCGCAAAATGCCCGAGGTCGAAAGTTGAACTTTTTCGAGAGTTGGAGGGCCAAAGTTGTCCGGTTTTGAAGTTCGAGGTTGAAATCCGAACTTTGCTGCAAGTTGGAGGGTGTAAATTGAACTTAACCCTTATAAAATTACCCTGCAGCTTGGTCATTATAAATGGGTCAATGACTTAGCCTTGGAAAAGCATGTAGTTTTTGTATTATCATCAATTCCACTGTACAATCATTGACTTTGCCCACACGCTTGCATTGTACCTAAATATTTATAAAATTCAGTCTTGGTCTCTTGGAGGTTGGAAGGCTACTGTCCATGGATGAAATTTCTTAGTTCGGATTTATGGCATCCACTGATTAGTCTCCTTGAAGGCTGCGTTCGAGCCCTATTCATTTGTCATCATTTGTTCTTGCTCCTTCCAGGATGGTTCAGTTCAAATTCAACTCTGCAGCTTGACCTCTGCCCCTTTGGTTCGAGGAAAAAGTTCGACCTCTGCCCCTTTGTCTAATCACTGGTCATAGTTCCAAGATTAAGAAACAGATGAATAATTAGGTGAAAAAATATTCTTTGGATTGTACTGATGAACAATGTGTTTTTTTAATATCAAAGTGAGTACTACTTGTGTACAACGTATATTTCTTGACAATAGTGGCAAGTAGATGAGAATCAGTCGCTAAATCAGTTATGGACCTATAATCTTCAAAGTTGAGTTCTGTACGCGATTATCAATCTTAAGCATGAATTTGCTGCTGAAACCCAAAATGGTTTGACTTTCTGACCTGGAAAAAAGGCTTTTGAGCTGAAACTAAAATGTTGGATTTAGTCTACATTCTGAAGCAGCCTTGTCCTTTGCTGGCTGTCAAAAGTCAATTTGTCGTTGTCCAAGTGCTCACGGTGCGATCTTAGAAATCTTCAAGCAATTTGCATTTCCTAGGTGTTGCACACAGGGAAAGAGAGAGCCATTGACAACATCCATCTGTCTATTGATCCAGCCATGAAGGTCGCACTCTTCCTTGTCAGCTTGCTCATTTATATCATTTGGACTCCTGGTTAAGTGTTATCCATGACACTGAACATTGTAATGCGTACCTACGACTTGTACATTGAATTGGTTAAATATGAGCTAATTTAACTTCACGTTACAGATGCGAAGCAAGCTGGCAACATATCTTTATTTGACAGAGGAAAAAAGATAAGACAATTTCAGGGGATAACTGTTAAAAAATTGAGGGGGTGTCAGAAACTTTCATAAAATTTTCAAATTTCAATCAAATACCTTGCAATTTTAGTGTCCATTTTTATCATAGAACTTATGAACAGGCATGGTTTTCAAGAGCCAATAGAGTCGACATGCATCAGCTGTCTACCTCTGTACCAGCTGTGTGTCACCCAGAAAAGAGAAAACCTGCACAAGTCAAAAGAGATCCATCCGATATGGTATATTCCGCCTCATGTAGTCATCTCACAGGGGCCCCAAGTTTCACTATCATGCATGGATGTTACAGACGAATTTCGTTGATTTCGTCAGGGGGCGAAAGCGAAACAGGAGGAAAAATGATTCCGGCCTGACCGATCGTCATGTATGCTTTTATATTATATATACACGTGTTGCAGAGGATTAAAGAAGCAACCTAGTCTCAATAGCTATTTTACTATCATTCAAGAAAAATGGTCCAACTTTTCGGAAACTCGGATGTGGGGAGAACAAAAAATCATGTAATTTTCCATGAGGTCCTGCATAATTCTTTCTTGCAGGATAGTTTTATCTGTTCCCTTTGTGGCATTCAGTTCATGAGATTGTGCTTGACTTGTTCTGTCCATACTAATGGCGGAGCAGGAACAGGTCCATCATAGTTGATTTGATCATTGCTCGGTCTTGACCCCAAAGCCAATAGTTCCATAAAAAAAAAGAACAAAAAAGATTTGACAAAACGAAAAGGTCCAAGTCTGTCTTACTCGTTGATTTTTGTAGTAGATGCCAACTCAACAGTGGTCTCCAAAGGGCAAGACCGTCCACTCATGTCCTGTGTGATCATGTCCTTAAGAGAACACAGCAGAGCAGGTGTCTGAAACTCTGAGACCTCACCGGTGACTTGGCCAGACAACTGTTGACTGCGTGTAATAAAAGCTTAACTCGTGAGCAGGACGTCACAGTTACTTAATAATCGGCCTGTTCGCTAGTTGGTTTCTGAACTGATAAACCCTACTAGTGCTGGTTTGTTGTGAGAAAAAAACACTGTTGACTGGCTGATAAACCCTGACTGAAACCAACAAGCGAACAGGTTGAATGTTTCTCGGCCGTATTATTTTGTACATGGTCAATATATAGCTGAGCTGGAGTCCACCTAATGGTATGAAACAGTGTACATGAAAATAACACGCAAAAGAAGTGAAAGAGTACGTAGGGGTGGTTGCAAGTCCTAGGTTTAACTTACCGTGAGACCGGTTAGCAAAAAATCCCCTTTGCGGAGGTTCAAAAATTTTCTCAGCTAAAAATACTAATGCTCTAACCTCTGGGGAGGCTATACCCCGGTTGTTCAAGTTAAAAGTGGGAAAAACATGGTCACAGAGGATAAGAAAATAATAACATGTAAAAAAACAGACGAGATCAAAGTAAAAAAAAAACAAATAAGCCTATAACTTAGTGGTTGCAAGTGCTTTAGTAGCATTATGTTCAAATTTCCGTGAGAGCGAATCTAGTCTGGTTAGAAAACTCGCAAAGTCACAAAGTTAGAGTTCGGGATGGTTAACTCTCTAGCTTAAGGTAGGGAAAAACAAGAATGGTCAACTTGATTTTGCACATGTCAGGACAACTAAAGAAATTGGTCTACTGCGACTACCACTTTGTGCCATGGCAACGACGTTGGCGAGGCCTCTGTAACACCTCAGTCCCGGCACACGGCACAGGCCCACTCTACCAAGGGGGTGGACCCCCACCTACGTAGCAATCCGCTTACGCTTTCATCCTCGCTTCACGTAAAACGGTTAACCAAAGATTACTACACGTCCTACACATGGCTATTTAAACTGCTCTGGCCGCCCCTCAGTTCCGGTTGTAAACCTCAGGATGAACAGTGCTCCGTGATGCTACAGTGACCCCACATGTACAGTCCGAGCTGCAGTGGCCCGAATTCAACCCAAACCAGTCCGCTACAGTCCCCCCGCAGCTGGTTCTCACAGCCTCTTGGTTTCTATCATTGTACCAGCTACGACGAGAGAGTAAACCGAAGGTCCATGTCAGTTTCGTGCTAGGAATCATCCAACAGCTGCATCTGTATTCAGTTGGCGGCGTGTTTGCCCCGGCTGGTCAGGTTAAAAGTGGGGGAAACATGTACTAGACGATAAGAAAATGACATGTAGAAAAACACCCAAGCTCAAAGTAAAAAACAAAAGCCTATAATCTAGTGGTTGCAAATGTTAACTGAAGGTCCACGTCAATTTCGTGCTAGGTTCACAAGGAATCCAACGGCTGCATCCAGTTGGAGGCGTGTTTGCCCGCTTTCTGTCTGTTTTCATTTCTGCTTTGTCCTTCTTCACAAAGCTCCGAGGTCTTATTCAACATTATTAGGGAATCAAACAAACTTTTTTTTCCTCTCTTCCTCGATATTCAGATCTTGAGATATGCTGCAGAAAAGGACATGTTCCTGGCAGCCTGAAGAAAGGTGTTGGCCAGTTGGTTTCAGACGAACGAACTGAAACTGATCGCACTCGGCTTTATTTTCTTCAGAAAATCTACACAAGCTCTGCTTGGTAAACCATGTAACTTCAATCAACCAAGAAAAAACTTTAGCCAGTACCTTTCGTTGATTTAGATTCTTGTTGTGAGATTAGAGCTAATGTAACAAAAAAGAGATGTACAGTACAGTACATAAAAAATGAGACCATAGGCTGATCCTAGCATAACTGCATATTCCCAGCCTCCTGGTTTTACGTCGGGTGCAGCTCCTATCTAACGTCCCAGCAGATTACATAAGCTCAGTCTCAGTCAATAACTGTGCCTTCGCCCATGATCTGGATTTAGAAAAGCAAATGTATGCCGAAGTTGAAGTTTTTTGCCTGGCTTTTACAATGATCGATTGAACACTAGAGACATCTTGAGTAGGAAAAAAATAACTCTTCATGGAGTCTGGTTATCATTGTGTGCTTTGCAGTGACGTTTTCTTCTCTTTTTTCAATATAGTCCAAGCATTGGTTCTCAACTGGGATACGGAGGGACACTGATCTTCAGCCAATAGCCATGATGCAGCAAGCAATGTCTCGCTTCCATATAGATCTTTCTTCATGGAAGTTTACATCATTGCCTCCATAGACTTAAAGCCTGAACTTCATAGTTCTATTACTATGGAATGGCTCAATGCTGTATAATCTTGTTTTCTAGGAGTGAGTGGTGGTGTGGCTAACCTTGTAATTTTCTTTTGGTTGCTCTCAATAGAATTCTGTGGGATTCTTCACCATAGCTTCCTTATAAAAAAATAAAAAAATAAAACAGTGAAGAACAATGAAAGGCAGCAACTGATGACTATGGTTGATATATGATATGCTTATATAGAGACCGTCATTCAGGTTAAAACGGCCTACAAGACAGCACCACAATCATCATACAGTACAGAGCTACCAAAAACTGATATAAGAATATCATCCGCAGAAGACCCTCTGCATATTTTACAGGTATGATCTAGAGCTAGAACTTGCAGGATCATAGAGCAAACAGAAAAGAACAATAATAAACAAGGCTCGTGATTATTTCTTTCTGCCTTCCGAAGGATCTGTCTCCAGATGTTCTTGCTACTGCAAACCCAGCCATTTGCCCTTTCTGAGGGTTCATGGATAAGGTTGGCAACAATCTCAACCTCTACTGTGATACGCATTACCAAGCTGAACCTGGCTCAGGATATCCATAATTTTATACCTGTTATTACTTCTAAGATACTTCTAAGAGTCTATCGTGAGTTCTTGTCGCCAAAGCCACCGAAACTACCTGAGCCAGAACTACCAAAACCGCCACCGAACCGCCCTGAACCAGAATCACCAAATCCACCAGAACGACCAAAACCAGATCCACCACCACTTGAGCGACCAAACCCTGAGTCACCGAATCCTCCACCACCACCTGACCGGCCAAATCCTGAGTCACCGAGTCCTCCATCGCCACCTGACCTGCCAAACCCTGAGTCACCGAATCCTCCACCACCAGAACGGCCAAATCCGGAGTCACCAAATCCACCGCTTGAGCGACCAAATCCAGAATTGCCAAATCCACCGCCGCCACCGCCCGATCGGCCAAAACCCCCACCCCCACGTCCACCAAAGCCCCGTGAGCGCCCATAGTTTGAACCGCCATGCCCTCCACCTCCACCTCCGAAGGAGTCAAATCCACCATCCAGCAAGACAGATCCCTCGACATTAATCTTTGGAAGCTGTGAGACAAGAGAAAACCAAGTGAGCATAATGCAGTGGTGATAACATCCAAAAAAGAGCACAGCACTCAGCATTGTACAATGCAAACCACAAGCCCTCACCTCTGTAAACTTGGATCCAACGTCACGTTCAATGACCCGTACAGCTCTACTTTGTTCATAGTTGTACATCGCAATTGCAGTGCCCTTCTTCCCAGCACGGCCAGTTCGGCCAGATCTGTGAACGAATATCTCTGACGAGTTTGGCAATTCATAATGTATCACCTGAACAATGAGAACCACATGGAGGGTAGAGAAGAGATGATGCACATGGTGATTACAAAAATGAAGGAGATAACTAAGAAAAGGGGAAGCACAAACCAGATCTACATTTGGGATATCCAATCCACGAGCGGCGACATCAGTGGCAATCAATATATTAAACCGCCCATCTCGAAATCCTGCCAGTGTTCTCTCTCTTTGGGATTGAGAGATATCCCCATGAAGGGCCTCACATTGGAAACTTCGACTCATATTGTGTGACAATCTATCTGCATCCCTTTTTGTTTGTGTAAAAACAATGCACTTACCACCTTTAGCATGTTCCTGCATGAACAAATAAATTGCTAACGTGTTCCAACAAATTAGAAGAAAAAGTAGCCGTCACTGGGAAAGAATCAAGTTTTAATGGGACAAATATAATAAAACCTAATCTATATTGACCTTAATCAATTCCCCAAGGACAGCTGGTTTTTGACGGTTCTCCGCAGAGACAGAGAGCAGACTAATTCCTTCAGCCAGCTTCTGGTCGTTCTCACCAACCTAGAAAGAAACAGTAAATCAATTCCATGTACTAGCAAATGATTTCTTAATAGAGCATAGAGGAACAATCTGCCTGTAATGAAATTGTTCATCAGAGAACTATGTGCAGCAACCAAATGACATTTAGCAAAGGCAAAGTTCAACAAAGCGCAAGAAATTGACAAACTAATGCACACACAATAGGCTACTTTAAATTGGTCGCTTCCAGGTCAACAAATATCATTTACACTACATGGATTCAGTAATAATGCTTGCAGGTTTTTGCTACAGTAGCTACAACCACCGCTAGACCAATTTACAAATCTGTTTGACCCTGGTTGACAGCTACCACTGCATATCTTGGACCCATCATGATTTTCTTAGCACATGATAAATTAGTATTCAAACTAAAAGCTCTCCATGTAATCTTTGGGATGAACCCATCCAAATAACTTCTCCACAACTAAATCCTCTAATTTACAAGAAGAGCCGCTTGCACTCATACAATATTTTAGACCATATTGTAACAAAAGATTTTACTAGATCAACTGCATGCATTCTCGGGCATAATTTAGGCCAGATGTAGCAAATAAAAAAGATTTAATATGAGCATAACTTAATAGCACTTGCAAAGAAGGGACTCCATCAATCAAACATAGTCAAATTTGCCAATTTAGTTCCCAATCTAATGAAGCAACAAGGTCGTACGAAGTATGCAATATAAACAAGGTCCAGAAAAGACTCAACATCATGTTCATCAAAATTCAAGTTATGAAGTCAAGCAATAAAAGTGTGTAAACAAAAGTAACAATAGAAGTTGAACTCACAAGGTCCACTGTAACAGGATTGTTGAGGTACTTCTGTGTAAGCTTCCGTATCCATGTTGGCATTGTTGCAGAGAACATCAATGTTTGACGTTGCGGAGGCACTCTCTCCAAAATTGTCTCAACATCTTGATCAAACCCGACGGACAACATCTGGTCTGCTTCATCAAGAACAACAAATCGGATCTCTGCCAAACTCAGAGCACCTCTTTTTAGCAGATCAATCACACGTCCAGGTGTCCCAATGACCACATCAACACCATAATTAAGTTGCCTTATTTGCTGCATAATTGGAGTCCCTCCATATACACATAGTGTTTCCAAGGGGGAGGAATCAAGGAACTCCCTCTCAACCTGTTTTGCAAGTTCTCTTGTTGGCGCTAAAACAATAGCCAATGGGAACTTACCAGCCCTGTAAATCAACAACAATTAAATGCAAGATGAGAATGGACCAAAAAGAACTAATGAAAAATACTTTACATGTGTACATTGTTAAGAAGAGGAACAAAGCTTACTTGTACTTCTCGTTGTGGCGGATAATTGCATCCAATATGGGGATTCCAAATGCCAAAGTTTTACCAGTCCCAGTTTTGGCACGACCAACCATGTCCCTTCCTTCCATTGCTGGCTCAAGGACAGCTCTCTGTATAGGTAGAGAAACAGAAGGCAAAGTTTAGTATCAAATCAGTACCGATCCAAAAGAAACACCTTCACCTCATATATATGAGATCCAAAGAATTGCAAGGCACTGTAATCTGGCGCCTCAACATAATTAATAAACACTAGCAATTCTAGTATTTCATCCAATCATCATGCGAAGGTAGTGACACGAACAGAAATGTGTAATTTTGGAACGTGACTATTTGCTGCAGTAGATAAGGAGTCAGACCAATGTGAACTTCGTTAACAACACTTTCTCTGTTATATATAAGCAGAACTAAGCAAAAGGGAAGCAATTTTTCTCATATTATGAACAGCTTGGTCTCTGCAATTACTAATCAATCAACGAATTCACCTATGTAGCCCGTATGTCCATGCAACATGACAAGCAGCTTGCCATATGATTCCTCTTGGATCAAACGAAAGGTAAAGATTCCAGCTCTCCTCGTTACCTGGATGGGGAACAGCTTGGTGATGCCCTTGCGGGCGAGCCTTTCGACGATCTTGGACGAGATCCCGAGCTTGGCAATCTCGAGCCCCTCCTCCGCCGCGGCGCCGCCGCCGGCCGGCGCCCTCTTGTCCTCCTCGTAGAACGACCCTTCCTCCGCCGCGAACTCCGCGCGCGCCGCCGCCCCTGCGGCCCCCGTCTCCCTGAACCCCAGCCACGCCGGCGAGGAGTGGAACCACGCGGCCGCCGGGAGCTGCGTCGGAGGCGCCCGCGGGGCCACCGCAGCGCCCAGCGCCGCCGGCTGCTGCTGGAGCAGCGCGGCCGCGAGCGCGGACACGGCGCGCCGCCGGAGTGGCGCCGCGCGGCGGAGGACGGCGTACATGGCTGTACCGCTTCCGCTTCTGCAGCGGCGGCGGCGGCGGTTAGGGTTTAGGGTTTTGGGAGTGGGGGCTGTGGGAAGGGGAGGGGACGGACGAACGAGAAGGGGAATGGGTTAAATGGCGCCGGGGTCGTTGATATTTCTCTGCTCACGTGCACGGCATGTGCGGAGTATCTACACTCGTCGCTGGTGACGCTTACACGTGGGGTCAAGAATGCGCCTGGAGAGTATGGCCCGCGTGTCAGTGTGTAATGAATGGTAGCTGGTATATTGCCGTCTGTGTGAATTGTAGCTAGCGGAGTGCTTAGTGGTGTTGAGAAGGGCCATGAGGTGAGTTGAGTATGACATGTGGGGAAGGATTGAGTGGGGTCAGTGTGGCAGTTGGGTGCGGGTAGTGATTGCTGTGGAGAGAGGTATTGCTTGGAGGAAAAGTAATATAGGTTGGGTTACGGTGATGGGCTGCGTTCATTGTTTTGGCAAGTGATGACTAGGGAGTGTGTGATAATGGGCCTCCACAGAAGTTTCAGCCCGTCTCGGTTGGCCATTTATGTGTGTGTGAACGGCCCCTACCCCGAGTGACCTATTAGGCCCTTTTCATGTGACCACAGGAATGGTGGGTTTGGCCCTTTATGTGTGTGCGAGAATGGCCCGAGTGACCTATTGGACCCCCACAGGAATTGGGTTGGCCCCTTTTTGTGTGTGCGAGAATGGCCCGAGTGACCTATTGGGCCCTTTCCATATCACCACAGGAATGAGACCACATTCAATTCAACGTTTCTCCAGCACAGCCCACATGCTGCTGCACAAAGAGAGTAACCACTTCACTCACTGTGCATTTGTCTCGTCACTCTGAATCTCCCGCCAATGGCCTGAAATGCAATTTAAAACATGCGTATACGCACCCCTCCGTCCCAAAGAGGATCGAATTCTAGGTCTAGTCCAAATAAAAGTATCTTAATTTCGGCTATATTTATAGGAAACGATGTAAACATTTATGACTTCGAATAGTTATACTACGAAAATACGTAATGAATCTAACTATACGTATCAACTATGTTAATTACTATTAGTATCTGTTTATACAAATTTGGTCAAACTTAAAGAAGGTTTGACGGAACACTATTTTAGAATTGCATGTCTGTTTTGACCGAACATTGGTTTGAAAAATTCCAGAGTTTGTTGGATTTACTAACAAGTTGGCCGGCCCCATGCAATGGTGGTGCTTTTTGTGTTTTGTTGGTACAATACTACTACGATGCCATTCACACTCGGGTCTCTACTAGTAGAGAAGGAAGAGCCGAGCAATCTAAGGCGACTTGCTCGGACAACACTAGTGTAGAATTTGACAGGAATATAGTACAAAATTCGCGAGCAAACAAATTTAAAACTCTCTCCTTCATTCACACAACAAAAGCTCGGAATTTTTTACCATCTCGAGACGACAAAAAAAGGTACGTGCTACGGAAGAAGCCAAGCTCTGCTCTGGACTTTTACCGGCATTTTGTCCTTCTGAATGGTCCGATCTCCAGCCAATCATTTGCGGCAGCACGCAGTAGGTTAGGTGCCTGATTGCCTGATTTGCACGAGCTTTAATTCGAACAAGGAAGGAACGAACGAAAAGGCCAGCGCCAGCGAAGAGGATGATGCTTTTTCTGCTTCCAAAATGTGTATGCATGCTTCCAAAGGCCGAAGGCTGCCCCGGAGGAGGCCACAGGACACCTGAGCTGGCGCGGCTTTCCTTGCCTTGTCGTCGTCGTCCGATCCTTCACGGCTTATGGCAAGGAGCGATCTGCAGCAGTGCTTCAGATTCAGACATGGAGACTGTCAGTGAGGCCAATGAAGCAGTGCTGCATCTCTATTCGAATTCTGACGCCTGGCCTGAATCGACCGGCCGACCACTGTTGGCCTGAAAAGCAGGACCTACTGGAGCTACCACTTCAGCTACTGCTAGTTACCACTACCATCGTCAGTTCAGCGTTGAGCGTTCGTTAGCAGCAGGAGCGGTTCTCGGTTCCTTGCGGTGCAGGAGCCTGAAGAAAAGAATGAAGAACTCAAGAAAGCAGAGCCAAAGCTTGCATGCAGGAATCACGAATGGAGGATGAGACAGCCAGACAGGACATCGTTGCCACTTGCCATCACACGGTTCCGAAACCTTTCGTCCGAACGAGGCGAAAGAACATGTCGCTTTGGCGGCCTCGGCACCTGCGCGCGCGAGCAAACTTTTCTGACGTGGCGCGACCATCCAAGCTTTTTCTGTACCCGCCTTTTTTTTTCCAAATCGCACTGAAATTCAGTCTTCAGGTCAGCTGAACTGAAAGTACCTCGATGCAGCGTTGCTCTTTCTACCGTACCAGCTCGCGAAATGCTCGATCGGTTTCAATTTCGAAGTTTCAGAACGGTTTGAACCCCGGCGCGCGGCGCCCTTTTGCATGCCGGCAGGATGACGCGCGTGAAAGGCTCCCAATCATTCGTTCGCTCCTTACAGACAGAATCATCACTGAATCAGGGCTTCATTCATTACACTGCTGCTGCTCCTAGTACCAATAGCACCACTGCCACTGATCACCATCTTCTTCTCCTTCAGTGACCGGCCGGTGTGAATCGTGATCTGTCCAATGTCCATGCACGCATGATACAATGCAGTTAGAGCTGAAGATTTCTTTGCCGTAGCACGCTCAAGTGTGCAATGACGTATACTGACCGCGGCTTCGTATCTGTTTGGTCTGAAACTTTTTGCATGAGCTACCGAATGAATTCAAGTCAGGCAGGACGACTCAAATGCTAGCTAGTAGAATAGACGATTCATCTCTCTGTCTCTCTGCTTCCTTCCTTGCTCTGGCCTGATCTGATCTGAACAGTGGATGGCTCTGAATCCCTGGGAAAAGTGCGTGCGTGTCCCGCCAAAACCTCATCTCACAACCCCCCCCCCCCCTTCCAGACAGACGGACGGGACCACTGAATTCGAAAACCAAAGCCATTCATGTCAAGACAAGAAGAAGAGGAACAGGAAGAAGAAAGTAGTAGGTTGAAAGGAATGAAAAAGGGAAAGACGCAGCATGAGTGCCCGTTCGGTAAGGTTGGTGTTATTTGTATATATGTTGTCAATGCAGCTCTTTCGCTTTTTCATGCATTAACGTTATTGATCGGCCTCGAGCTCATCATGAAAGGCGATCGAGGCCGTGGCAATAAGGAAACACAAGCTAGTACTAGTACTAGTACTAGTACTAAAACTCAACAAGTCACTGATGATGAACCTGAATTGGAGGAGGACAGGAGCAGGAGGTAGCAGGGATTTGGCACTTTTTGATAGTATATTTGTTTTCCCTCGAGTCAGCTCGCTCTCGCTCAGAGCAGCTAGCTTTATTTGCTTTACACTTTCTCCCTTTCATGGGGACAAGTGTAACTACTGCGTGCCCTTGCTTTCTTCCTCCTTGGTCAGTAAACAGTGGCATAAAAGAAGAGAGCGAGCTCGCTCTGGACAGTACCAAATATATATACGTAGTCAGCAGTCGATAGATATAACAATATTGTTTAGCTCGAAACGTTGAGTGACACCATCAGCAGCACTGAGGCCCACTGTGCATATGGATGGATCATTTTTAAAGACCATGCAATGCATCGACCTGTATCGATATCCACGCGTGCTGCGATGCCAATGAAGTGTGGCCAATGCAACAGAACGGACATACACGACGTTGGTATACGTTCCGCGTTCACGATCAGACGCCGGTGGGTGAGCGTGGGTCGACGACGTCGATCGTCCCTGCTAGCTGTTGGATGAATTGAGCGTACGTACGTAGTTAGCTACACCGGCCGAGGCCGGGTCCGGACAGCACAGTGTGTGTATGTATGGTGTGTCAGTGCGTACGTACACCTATACCTACCTCCGGCATATGGCAGCGACGCGTACGTACGACGATGTGGCAGTACCACTGTCAGTGATCGCCATTTCCTAACCACCCTCTCGAGATATCTTCTGGTCGATGACTGTTGCCCTGGCTGAAAAGCAGGACCTACTACTGCTAGCTTCGTCAGTTCAGTCTTGAGTGTTTGTGTTCCTTCGTCGCAGGGCAGGAGCAGAAAGCAAGCGAAGCTCGCTGCTTGCATGAGACAGGTTACAGGCCATCGTTCGTCGTCGCCAACTGGCCATCATCACGGTTTCCAAACCTTCCGTCCAGAGTCCAGACGAGGCGAAAGAACATGCCGTTTTGGCGGCCTCGATCGGGACCTGCGCGCGCAAGCGATCATCCCAGCTTTTCCTGACGTGGCGAGATCGACCATCCAAGCTTTTCTCTGAAAAACTCGGCTGCACTGCACTGTACTGTACTGTAGCCACCTTTTTCTTTTTCTCCAAACTGCACTGGAATTCAGCTCGTGTGTCCTTTTGCCATCTCGCGAAAAACGTTCGGTTTCAATTTGAAAGTTTCAGAAATCAGAACGGTTTGAACCCCATGCCATGCCGGCAGGACGCGCGTGAAAGCCGCACAATCGATCATTCTTTCGCTCCGATCCTTCTTCAGACAATCATCAATCGATCAGGGCTTCATTCATTTCACTGCTGCTACCTGCTAGTAGGAGTACCAAGTAAGTACCACTACTACCACTGATCACCATCTTCTTCTTTTTCAATTCAGTGACCGGCCGTGTGATCTGTCCAATATCCATGCACGCAGAATGCAATGCAGCTGGAGCTGAAGATTTTTTGAGCTACTGAATGAATTGAAGTCCGCAAGGACTCAAAGTAGAATAGAATATACGATTCAATCTCTCTGACTCTTTCCTTCCTTGCCGGACTGATGACCTGATCTAATGGATAGCTCTGAATTCCGGGAAAAGTGCTTGTGCCGCCAAAAGCTCATCCTGGACCACTGAATTCGAAAACCAAAACCGTTCATGCCAACAGAAGAACACTCACTCCCAATAGAAGAAGAAGCACGTGGAAAAGACAGAAGAGAGGAGAACCAAGCAAGATTAACAAAGGGGGTAGTAGGTTAAAAGGAAAA